AAAATATTTGGCATAGTACTTAGTGCCTAGTTCCTATAAATAATTTGTAAATTTTTCGTAATTATGTACCAGACCACCTATAATCCTAGAACTTGGGAAGTTGGAGTGATAACATCACTTGAGCCCAAAAGTTTGAGAACAGCTTGGGCAATATAGTGAGAACCCATCTCAAAAGAAAAAAAATTAAGCAGGGTATGGTGGTATACTGATGTAATCTCAGCCATTAGGAAGATGGAGAAGACAGGAAGATCTCTAGTTCAAGTTAAACCCAGGCAAAGTAGTGTAATCCTGTCTCTAAAGTACAATATAAACAAGGAGCCCTCATTCTATTTGAACCTGACAAGCACAAGGTCCCAGGTTCAATCCCCAGTACCATCAAAAAAAAAAAAAGAAAAGAAAAGAAAAAAGAAAAATGAAGTCATAATGCTAGGGCTCTCTCCTCACTAGAGATAACACATTATAATTTTATTAGCTAGTCAATACGAAAGCAACATGTCCATTTTGAGAACAGGAAGATTGATTGCCATTACCCTTGATGTACCACTGCTCTTTATAATAGAGATATAAATACTATGATCAGCTGTTACCATACTTCAGGGTTTATCCTGTAATTTGCAAGTCAATTTCCTTTATCCCTGTTGTCTCCAATTTTACTGTTCCTTATACTACAACTTCTCTCACCAAGAGTTCAGGAATAGGAAGTGAAAGCTGGTAAGCTTCGTTTATGATGTTGACTCTTCAAAGTAGGTGAAGAAAATTAGACCAAGGGGCTGGGCTCTGTCCCTCTTCCTGTCCTGCATTGCTGCAAGTTCCTTGTGAATCCCTTGTCAACACTGCTCCTGTGCCTGGTTTCAGGAATTATTGAACTATTGATTTGAAAACATACTATTTGAAAATCAGTAATAATCATGGCTTCTCTACTAAAGTGCTTCTGTCAGCAAGTAAGGAGGAATCATTTGAGTTCTGCAAGTTGTTATTTTTCTTGGCAGGTGGAAATAGAAGGATCATGTATTCTAGGCAACTCTGAAAGCAACATTTATATTCCCATACCCTCCTTTTCACAGCCCTAGTTTCGTATCTGCAGTGCTACATTTAATTGCTTGTCAATCCGTCCACGGCCTGACTCAAAGCACTGGAAGGAAGACTTGACTTTCATTTTTGTACCCCAGGGTTCCTGGCACAGTAAAAGTTCTTGACAAGTGAAAGAATAAATAAGTAAATGGTCATCAGGATTTATATAAGATTAAATTTAGTCTCTTAAGTACTTAAGTCCAACAGAAGTAGACTGGTGAAGGGGTTTTTGTCTTGTTTGTGTGTTTTGTGTGTGTGCTAGTACCGGGGTGTGAATTCAGAGCCTCTCTTCCTCTGCAGGTACTCTACTGATTTAGACACACCTCCAATTCCAGTTTTTTGGGGGGTGTTTTTTTCCTGGTTAACTAGAGATCTCATGGATTTTTCTGTTTGGGCTGGCTTCAAACCAGGGTCCTTAGATCTCAGTCTCCTAACTATCTAAGATTACAGGTGTGAACTATCAATTACCCAGCTATGGATTGGTGAATCCTCTAATTGCAATAAATTGCTCCTTTAAGTGCAAGAAGCTCTGAATATATATATATATATATATATATCTCAGTTGCCATCTGTATCTCCATGTTCTGCATTCAGTATCAGTGTATCAAACTATGACATTAACTGTTGTAACTCAGGTGCCTTTTGAATGACCAGGAAGGTTAAAAGCATTGCTTTCCAGTGCATACTAATGCCAGCCTATAAAAAGATTCCAAAACCATTTCAAAAGTTTCTTTTCTTAAAGTTAGACTGAGTAACCTTACAGTGTAACATCATGATAGTTCAATATTCCTACTAATGATTATTCTGCAGCTCAGAGATATTCCAGATGAAAAATTATCAAACATGATGTTATGTTTTTTAACTTAGGACACCAGAAGATTTATTATTTCACAATCAAATATATTAAGCCTTGCGACTACATCGTTCCTCATTAAGATTCCCTTTGAATCCATTTGACACGTTAAAAATAGGGAACCAGTGAATAACTTATGAGTAAAAAGCATTTTATGATGTTTAATCTCAGAAATCAAAGTGAATAGAACAACAAAAAAATAAAAAAGGAAAAAAGAATTCAAGTAACTGACAGGATAAGACTAGATCAGAAAATCCCAAAGTTAATTTTCCTTCTTTTAGAATATTTATGTTGTTCTCTAAGTAATTTTTCTAGAGACTTTATTCTATGAAATTGACTACTTGACAACTTATTTCCTAGACTAACTAGTATTGTGATTCAAAGCTAATTTGTATCCTGGAACAGTGGCTCAAGTCTGCAATCCTAGCTACTTGAGAGGTAGAGTTGGGGGATTGAAGTTCAAATCCAGCCCAAACTGAAAAAAAAAAAGAGTTTTTAAAACTTCTTCTCATGGATGGGTATGGTGGCCTAGACTCTCATGTGAGCAATGCAGAAGAGCACAAATAACAGAATCACAACCCAGACTGTGATCCACTTCAAAATAACCAACACAACCAGGAGCAGGTGGCTTGTGCATGTCATCCTAGCCACTCAGGAGGCTGAGATCTTAGAATCAAGATGCAAAGCCAGCCAATGCAGAAAAGTCTGTGCGAGTCTTAGTTCCATCTAACCACCAAAAAATAAAGAAAGAGAGAGTGAGAGGAGACAAAGAGTGATCCAGAAGTAGAACTATGGCTCAAATAGTAGAGCACAGCAAAAAAGCTTAAGGACAGTTGAAGACCCAGGACTGGCACAAAAATAAAGTACTATAAAATAAACAACACAAAAAAGGGCTGGCAAAATGGCTTAAGTGGTAGAGCACATACGTGCCTAGCAATTGCAGGGCTCTCTGAGTTGAAACCCCAAAGGGGAATAAAAAAAGCTCAATTTATAAAAGCAATCCTTACATTCAAATTTTCTTAGTTTAATCAATATAGACTATATCAATACATTTCTGGTAACACATAAACCATTATTATTATACTATTACATATGTGAAAGATTCACCTAATATTTATGGTTGCTCTGTGTAAAATTCTTTCTACCACTAACTCAAGAAAAGACATGAAGAAAAGACAATAGTTTTCCAACATTTTTGTTTGTTGACCCACAATAGGGATCATTTGAATCAAAATTCCCAAAGAAATCTATCACCCCAAGAAGTAAGGAAGAATGTTGTAGGCTATATTGTGTGTGCATTTGTGTGTGTGTGTGCATATACATGCCAGTACTGGGGCTTGAACTCATATTATTGCCCTTGCTCAACTTTTTTGTGCAAATATGGCATTCTATCATTTGAGCCATACCATTACTATCTGTGTTATTCTTGAACCAGGAAAAGAGAAAGGATTCTTTTCAGCCTGGGAAGGCAGCAAAAGTAGAATTGTGAGTTTGTGTAATCAGTTATGAAATTAAGAGAACAAACATCATCATAAATGCTAGCTGATCATCGTCAAGATGAAGAACTGACATATTACTACTAGGCCAAGGTGGATTTTATTTAAAAAGCAAAAAAAAAAAACCCCAAACTAACCTCTTTTTTTTCTACCACAAATACAAGGGCCATCTCTCCCTATGAATTTCTATGAGCTTTCTGGCTTCTTTATATTAAGGCCCTGTGTCACACTGTGAGAAACAACACCAGAACAAACAATGTGTCTGCCCCGCCCCCAAAAAAACACTTGAACAATTTTGTGGAGTTACCAATTTCCATGAAACCCTAAGCAATAGTTAACAAGTCATTCATTAATCTTCTCTGAACCAATTACCTGGTTTTTAGTCAATTTAACCTAAAATTTAGGAAGTGATACATATAAACAGAGAGAAAAGTCTGCTTTAGATGATTTCTGAATTGGCTTTCAGTCCATGAAAGCTTACAAATACACTTTGTTTACTTCATTCTCTTTATAACACATTTTCACCCAGTGAAATCAAGCATTAAACATGTATGTTAGGGTTGCTTGATCTGAGCAGCACAATAACAACAAACAAAAAAGAAATGTAAAAATGCAGTCATTTGCAAAATTACAGTCACTGTGTTTTTGGGCAAAGATATTTTTGTCTGACTTCTTAACAGCACCTAATATGCATCACTAAATGATCACTGCAATGTGTTATCAAATACAATTAGCAAAAAATACTTTTATCTGGCTACTTCCCATCACATATAGGCAACAATAAATATTCATTACAGCAATTCATCAAATGGAAAATTTCCCCTAATTTTAATAAATCCATGGGGTTTCTATTTAATGATAGACCACAAGCGTTTTCTTTTTCCTTTACTTCTTATTAAACACTAAAGGGTGCAGTGCCATCCAAACACTCACATTAATGAGTTTTCAAATCTTTTACTAAGATATAAAAATAGTTTAAATTTACCTTTATTTCTTTTCCTAACCCAAGTTTCAATAATCATACAATTATCTGAGTGTTCAGAGATTCAGTTCTATTTTTCACTAGTCATATACACATGTCATTTGTGCATACATCTTCTTTGCTTTAGATTTTTAAAATACCTAAGCACTTCTTTTTTCAAAAATAGTATAGTCACAACATTGTTTTGATAGAGGGAAATTGATTAGAAACTCAACATAGAATTTAGTACAGAAAATGTTACTTCCTTTATTAAGTAACTCCAGAACATAAAAACAAACTTAAAACTTTAGGGGAGGAAACTGTTTCAAAGAATGAAATAATGTAATGATCTTATTACAAACTCAATGCTGAAAATCTAGACTACACATTTTAAATACTTCTTTCCATTTTGGTGCATGCTACAACAAAGTAGGATGAATCAGATAGCAGAGCTGTGTAACAGACATCTAACTGCCATCCATTTTCCTTTGCTTAATTCTCAAAGGCAGAAGTTCAGCTGAGACAACATGCACCCAGGAAGACCTTTTCTGTCACTGTAAGCTGGCAACCGTTAAAAATTAGGAAGGAAGAGCTAGATTGCATAGATTTTTATACTTACCTTGTGGTGTCTTGAAATATTCTGGCAAAATTAAAATGAATGTGATCGCTACTGCCACAAATAACTTAAGGAGCACTGTTTGGGGCATGTCTGTTCACAGGGTACAAGTGTGTTTCCATTCAGTACATTGATGCCATCTTACTTCCTGCTTCAACTTTCACCTCCACAGGACACTAAGTTACTGCAACTCACCCACACTCACTTCCTTTTGGGTAAGACAAAAAAAAAGTCTGAAGAGAGGCTTCTTCGTTTTGAGTCATTTTCCAGTAAGCAGAGTATCCTACACAAGATAAGTAAATGATCTCAAGGAACAAAGTTGAAGCTGATTTCCCCTGTATTTAACACTGTTTGGGGAGAAAGATGAGCCCACACCGTTACCCCAAATCAGATGATGAAAGTCAGTAATGGCCAGGGTTACAGACATCATTCATTCATTCATTCCTTAAGTGACTTTTGCCAGATGCTTATGCCTAGAAGTTAATGTACACATGTAAAGATAAGCTAAAAGCTCTGTGTTAATAGAATGGAATTCATTAATGATATGCCCATAAACACTGGGATTATTGTTATAGACCCCACATTTTCTGTTTCCATTGTAAAAAAAATTAATTACATTAGTCCCAATGACAGAAAATACTTTGTTTTGGAATATAAATGAAGGATAGGAAAAAAATCCACTGGAGCAAAGCATAAATTCAATGTGAGCAGAGCATATGTTCAAACAAATATTTTTACTTAGAAAATCCAGAGAGCCAGCATTTTCATTGTTTTTGATTTTTTATTTAAATAAAATGGTACCAAATATTTCCAATATCTCCAAATATTCTACAACCTATCAATTGCCACTATTCCTGTTTTTTTTTTCCTTCTCAGCCACCTAGTCGTGGGCTTTATGGAAGAGTAGGTAAACAGCAGAGGGTATGAATAGTCAGTATGATGGATTAATTAACTGACCTTTCTGATTGGATACAGCAATTAATGGGCAGGTGGAAATATTCTTGCCTGAATGTAAGAATAGTCACAATGGGAGTTGGAATCCAAGCATATAACTTACCTTAAGAACAGCATCAAGGACTGTTCTAAGAATGAGAGTAACTAGGCTGAAGGTGTAGCTCAAGTGGTAAAACTTTGTCCTGCCTAAGCAGGACAGTACCACTGAAGAAGGAGGAGGAGGAGAGGAAGTGGTAGAGTAGGGAGGGGAAAAGAAAGGGAAGAGAAAGGGAAAAGAGAGAAGGAAGGGGAAGAGGGAAGAGAAGAAGAGAGGAGGAAAACAAGGAAAGAGAGGGGAGAGAAGAGAAAAAGGAAAAGAAGAGACCCACCAGTTATAGCTTGTGTTTTACACCCAATTAAGCTCTACTGAAGGTCCTGTTCATTCTTCCCTATCTTATAGGCTTCACTGAATAAATGGTGAACAATCTTCTATTTCAACCCTGTTTGTTTTCCTAAAGGAATATAAGCATTCCAATCTTAATTTTGCCCAATTTTTCAACCAAATACTTACTTGATATAATAACATTATCAGAAGTTAGTTATTCCTTAATCAATTTTCCCTAAAAGTCAGCTAGCTGAACCACCTCTGTTTTTCCATTTTAATTTTAACTGAAATTAGTTCTATTACTACCTGTTCCTTTCCATGTATATTTCACAACACGCTGACTCATTTGTGAATTCTTCATTTTACTTTTTTTGTTGTTATTATAAAGGTGATGTACAGAGGGTTACAGTTATATAAGTCAAGTGAAGAGTACATTTCTTTTTTGGTGGGGGGAGGTCCGGTTGTGGGCCTGAACTCTGGGCCTGGGCGCTGTCCCTCAGTTCTTCAGCTCAAGGCGCTATAGCACTCTACCACTTGAGCCACAGCACCACTTCCGGCTTTTTGTGCTGAGAAATCGAACCCAGGGCCTCATGCATGCAAGGCAAGCACTCTACCACTGAGCCACCTTCCCAGCCCATGAGTACATTTCTTTTTGGACAGTGTCACCTCTTCCCTACCTTTCTCCCAGTTTTTCCCATCCATTGCCACCCACAAGTGTATAGTTCATTTTCAACATAGTGTCCAGTGAGTACATTTGTTAAGTCTTATGTTTATATCAGAATTGGTTGACTTCTCAGGTTGTTTTGTATTTGTTTTTTGCAGTACTATATCAGATCTGTTTGTGTGTTAGTCAATCTTCATTGCTATGACAAAATGCCTGAGCTAAACAACTTAGGAGAGGAAGTGTTTATATGAACCCATGGCTTCAAACATTACAGTACTTGCTCACTTGACTCCATTGCTTCTGGGGGTCCATGGGTGATGAGTAAGCACATCATTATGAGGAGCATGCAGTGAAGCAAAGGTGTTTGCCTCATGGTGAACAGGAAGCAGAGAAAGACAACCAGAGTGGAGACAAAGTATTCCTTTCAAGCACACACCCTCAGTGATCTACTTCCTCCAAGTAAGCCACACCTCCCAAAACCTCTACTCATCTATGAATTCATCAGTGGATTAGCCCATTGATGAAGTTAAAGTCCTCACGATCCAATCGCCTCTCAAAATCCCATCAGCTGGTATTTAAATCTTTAACAGTTAAGCCTTGGAGGACATTCTTAGGTTCAACTCATGACAACACCCATGCACACCTATACCAGTACCACCACTACCACCATCCTGCTCTTTCATGCTGGTTATCTTATTCTTGAGTACTTTTCTTGAGTACATTTCTCTCTAGCAGCTCCATGGGTTCTTTGTCCTAGCCTGGCTCATATGTTCTAAACCTGACTTCTCTGGTGATGTCCAAATGGCAGAGATCATGAGAGGACTCGAAATTCCACACCAGAGCCTGACTGCTCTAAAGACATGAGGGAGCAGCATTTCACAGCCAGCCTACAATTTAACTTGCTGGACATTAGTGTGTTAACTCTGACTTAGCACATTTTGAGAAAATTAAATTTTTCCCCAGATATGTCAGGAATCTTATTGTCTGTGACTTGTTTTCATATTGCTAATCTACTTTTTATAAATGTTTCCAATCATTCTTTCTACAGGGAAGTGTTCACAGAACAGCCACCAATGACAAGTTCTGAATATTTACTGGAAGTCTTTCAAGGCTCAGTGGCAACTCTGGTGAGCCCAGTGGCTTCCTCCTGTAATCCTAGCTACTCAGGAAGCTGAAATCTGAGGACTGTGGCTCCAACAGGCAGAATAGGCAGGAAAATCTGAGATTCTTATCTCTGATTAACCCCCCAAAAGCCTGAAGTAGATCCAGGGGCAAAGCACCAGCCCTGAGCAAAAACGGCAAGTGAAAGTAGTATGTAGTTGCCTATTGTTACATAAAATAAACACTTTCATATATTACTATGGCTGGAGCTCAAGGTATTTTGCTCTTGTTTGGCTTATTTGCTCATAGCTGACAATGTACCACTTGAGCCATGCCTCCAGTCTAGCTTTCTTGCTGTTTAGTTGGAGATAGAGTCTCTTGAACTTACCTGCCTACGCTGACTTTGAATTGAGATCCTCAGATCTCAGCCTCTTGACTAGGAAGGATTACAGAGATTAGTCCCTGGCACCCAGCTTCAGTTGTATATGTGTACACAAACAATATTTTCCATTGAATGATTTCAATATTCTATTTGAATGCTTTCAAATCCCTTTATTATATCCTGTGCAAAGATCTATTGGGGGTCAAAAACAACATCATTCATCAATGACAGTTGTCAAACCTTTACTATGTGCTGCTGTTCAGTGTTGAATGTTTTTTTGTTTTTTTTTGTTTTTTTGGTCTGGTCTTGGGGCCTGAACTCTGGGCCTGGGCGCTGTCCCTCAGCTCTTCAGCTCAAGGCTAGCGCTCTATCACTTAAGCTACAGCGCCACTTGTGGCTTTTTTTCTTTTTGCTTATGTGGTGCTGAGGAATCGAACCCAGGGCCTCACGCATGCAAGGCAAGCGTTCTACCACTGAGTCATCTTCCCAGCCAAGTGTTGAATGTTTTATATGGATTATTATATCCAATCCCTCCACAACATTAATTAATTACTTTAATCCAATTTTATAGACAAAAATATGAGGTACAGGAAAAAATGAATCAAGTAGCATGTTCAAAAATCACATAGCTAATGAAGGGTAATTCTGGGTAAATTTTAAAGACAGTCTTGACTGCAGACAATGTCCTCCACCAAGTTTTCTGTCATTCCTCTCCTCTTACACTGTGTGAGAGAATGCATCAGGTGGAGACATTTATAAAGTAATAATACGAATACAATGCAGCTCCTACTATGTGCCTGGCACTGTATTCAGCCAGGATTTCTCACCGGCAGCATTTTAGAGATGTTAGGACAGGTGAGTAAGGAACTTTCCTGAACATTCTGGAATGTTCAGCAGCAGGTACAAGTAGCAGTCCTTCCCATTCCAGCTTTGACGACAACACAAAAAGTCTCCAGACATGCCAAAGTCCTGGTGGGGGAAGAAAGAGGCAGGATAAAGGTGGAAGATAAAATAGCTCCCAGTTGAAAACCACTGCAGAAAACACTTCACTAATGTTAAGTCATCTAATCCTGTAATAACCCTACAAAATAGCTACTATCGTTTTTTCCATTTCAGTCACTTGAGGTCAGTTCCATTCTGGGTAATGTAATCACCCAGAAAGTGAGTTGAAAGGACAATTGATGATCTGGATCAGCCTAATTGCTTGTAATTGTCTTACTTCAAGATAATCATCTCCTTTGGCTCCAGAGCAATACTTAGATGAACACATTTTATAGGGGAAAAGATAATCTCTTTTTAACAAGGTCATTCTGAGTATGGAGAGGATCCTGGGAAGTTCCAATCTCTTCGTCCTTTTTGCAGTTCACTCAACAAATATTTACCGAACACATAAAATGTCAGGCTGCATCCTGAACCCTGCAGATACAGGAGCAAACCAGCAAAATCCTCATTCTTACGTCCTCGTGGGAGTGAACACTCCAAGGAAAGATATAATCAAATAACTATTGAGAGTAATTTATCCTCAGGTAAAACAATCAGGCTAGGTATGAGCACATGCTAGCAGGGAGCCAGCACAGGTTGGGTTAAATCCTTAATGAAGTCCCTATATGATGCTATTTACAAGACACTTGGGGAAAAGCACAACTTCAGGGGCAGAAAATAGATCACTCAGTTGCCAGA